TTTCCCCGACTTATCTGAGTCAGGCAACCAACATCCAAACGTGTAGGAAACACATACTACTCAGGGATGGCATCAGGGGAAACCCCTAATGGCTCTGCACAGTTGAGGGACTCTCCAGCTGGTTTCCCACATCTGATCTGTGTACAGAGAGCTTTGACACTTTCAGGTAGGATGTTTTGCCACTCAACATCATTGTTTGGAAAGGGATTGCGCGACAATGCGTCAGTGTCAATGTTGCTACTTCCTGGTCGGTACTGGAGGGTGAAGTTGTATGTTGAGAGCGCAGCAAGCCAACGATGACCGGTTGCATTTAGTTTGCCTGTCATGAGGACATACAGTACGTTAAGGGGTTGTTATCTGTCCTCGCAGTAAAACTTACTCCATAGAGATAGTCATGAAATTTATCCACCACAGCCCATTTAAGTGCCAGGAATTCAAGCTGATGCACTGGATAGTTGTTCTCCGAAGAACTCAGCTTTCTGCTAGCAAAAGCGACTGGTCTCAATCCCTCTAGGTGTTTTTGGTTTAGCACAGCCCCTAAACCTTTAAAACTGGCATCTATGTGTAACACATAGGGCTTTGCTGGGTCAGCGAAAGCTAGGACAGGTGCGTTGGTGAGGCAGTAAATTATCTTCTTGACGGCCTCTGTGCATGACTGATCCCACCTGTCCCCAAAGGGTTCCCTCGCTTTGTAGTATGTCTTATCTGGTACCTTGGCCACTTTCCTATTCTTTTGAGTAGGTGGATAAGCCTTGCAGAGTTCGGTAAGAGGTCTGACGATGATGGAGAAGTTCTTTATGAAATGACGGTAGTAACCACAGAATCCTAAGAATGACTGCAATGATGGCAGATCATTTGGCTGTTTCCATTGGGCTACTGCTTCAGTTTTGGCAGGATCTGTTGCGATTCCATTCTCTGACACAAGGTGTCCCACGTAGGTTACTTCTGACCGACAGAACTGGCATTTGTCTTTTGACAGCTTCAAACCAGCCTCTTCTAGTGTGTCTATCACCTTGAGTAGTCTTTGTTCGTGCTCTTCCAAGGTTTTTCTGAATACGATCAGATCATCCAAGTACACTAAGACCTCAAGCATGTGCATGTCCCCGACTGCCTTCTCCATAAGCCTTTGAAAAGTTGCCGGGGCTCCTGTGATCCCCTGTGGCATCCGCTCAAACTGATATGTCCCAGTGGACATATGAAGGCGGTTTTCTCTTTATCCTCTTCGGCCATAGGGATTTGATAGTAACCACTGCGCAAATCCAACACTGAAAACCACTTGCTTCCAGTCAAACTGTCCAATGCATCATCAATGTGTGGCACTGTGTACTGATCAGGGATTGTTCTTCGGTTCAGCGTGCGACAGTCCACACACATGCGCAGCTTCCCGGACTTCTTCCGCTCCAGCACAATGGGCGAAGCATAGGGGCTTCTCGATTCTTTTATTATCCCTGCTGCCAGAAGTCCTTGAAGGTGGCATCGAAGTTTGTTCAAATCAGCAAGCAATATTCAACGAGACCTTTCTCTGAATGGGGTATCGTCATTTAGCCGTATATGATGTTCCACTCCCTTAGCTTCTCCAATGTCCCATTTGACAGTGGAGAACACATTGGACCTCTCAGAGAGCTTCTGTCTTAGTCGGTCTTCCCACCTTTGGAATGGGAGAATCTCCAAAATCAAACAATGAAGCATCAATCTTCGGGGGCGTGTCTGACGTTGGACTTTGGATCTCGGTCACCATATCAGCTACATACAGTTGTGCAATCACTGTATCCTGAGAAATGGAGGTGGCCTTTAATGACTCATTCCGCAACAACACGAGGAACTTGTTCTTGTCCATCATCTTTGAGAATAGGACAGTTGGCTGCACAAACAAACTTGGAGGGAGTGCAGGTGAGGGACCACGCTCTGTAATAAGAATGCTACCTTCCAAACTGTGTTTCTCTTTGAATTTATAGACAGCTATATACTCACTGCCAGCAGGAATGACAAGGGGACCAGGCCCAGACCACTTCACTTCAGCTATTATCAGGTTTGGCTTCAATTAATGGTTTATGCTCTGGTACACAAACTCTCGCTGACCGGATGATACCTGGCTCTGTCACTTTCTCGCTTGACGTGAAAGGTCTGACCTTGTGAACATTGGTGCCAACCAGGATAGGAATATTGTCTGAACAACGGGGATCTGGGCACACCAAGGCAAGAACAGGGACTGACTTGGTTTTGCCGGGTGTCTTTTCGGGGAGCTCTAATTCTACTTGGAGGTAGCCTCTGTAGGGATAGCTGCTCTCTGATTCACTAAGACCCCTTACGTCCAAACCGCTGACTGGATGTAAGGGTACATATGACAGGTGCTTAGAATATCAGCTGTCAAAGATTATTGTCACTTGTCACTATCAACGAGAGCAGTGCAGGGTTTGCCATTTACTTTTACACAGGCGGTGGAGGGTGGCCCTACGAGTGCTTCTGGTAGATGGTTAGCCTGGACATTTACAGCACTTCTCCTCACATTGACGTTATGGGTGTTCCCTGCTGTTGTAGAAGCATTTCTTTCTCTCTGACTTACTCTCAGTTGTCGCTGAGCACGGATTCGTTTCTGTATCACTTTTTGGTAGTTTTCTGGAGCACTACATTTAGTAGCAACATGCCCGTCCTCACCACAACGGTAGCAGAAAAAGTCACTTGAGTCTCTTTGAGGTGAGGCTCTTTCCCGTCTGGGGTTAGTCGGAGAATCTTGATTTGGCTGTGCTTCTGATACTCTGGTAGGTCTGACTGACATAACTGAGACCTGTTTCCGCAGTTGTTTAACATCATTCTCTAATGCTTGAATGTATTTATCTTCCCCTGAAGAGTCAGTGATTGAAGTGATTGCAGGTTGTAGTGCGGGTGGTGAAAAGGAATGTAATGTTGACATGCGGTAAGTTCACCGACTTGTGATTTCATTTCTTGTATCTCAGCTCTGAGATCTCTTATTTCCGCCCCTGCTGGTATCGTAACAGTCTTCACGTGCACTGATTTTGTTGGATTCAACTTGTGGCGAGATGCTTCGTACTCCTCTTCAGTGCGGATCTCATTTAACAACTGCAAAAACGTAGGTGGTCAATCTCTCCGCTCCCTAAGCCTGAGGTTTAGGAGCATCATGTCAGATCTGGTGGCTCCTTTAATGAGTTGGTCCAGACGTGCTTTATCTGCTTGGGCAGGTTGCAAGCCTCCCTTTTGGACTACTTTGTTCATAACTCTCTCCATCCTTCTCAGAAATGCTGAAAGTTTGTCATTGTGGTGCTGACATAGCATTCTAAAAACAAAGTAGAGCTCTTCACCTGTTTCAGGTGTGCCAAAAGTGTTCTCAATAACATCAATGTGCTCTATAGGAGTTGTGTCTGGGTTGTTGAATCGAACAGCTTGCAGAATCTCTAATGTCTCTCAGTCTTTGCCTTTTTCAGTCTCTTGTCTCTGTCTGGCCGATCACACTCCTCTACCATTAGACGAGCCTGCTCCATCCAGTTATCCAGCTGCTCTTCTCCAGGGGGTATGGGGGTGACTCCAGAGAAAGTTCGCAACCTCCTGTATGAGTTACTGTCATTAGTAGGTTAAATGCTCTCTGCATTATATCTCCCACTGCAATAGCTTCAGGTGTGGATGCTTGGAGTGGAAAAGGAGAACCAAATACTTGTTGCTGTTCCTGTGCAGCATCCCCTTGTTCATCAGTGGATACATTTTCCTCTTCAGAGGGTCCAACAATACTCCACGGTGAAACACTGCCTTCTGGTAACACGTCCAAAGGAATGGCTTTTGTGTTGACATCATCTCTGCATTCACATAGTGCAGTGAGGCCGTGACACTGAGGATCAAACACCCTTCCTCTGACCTTAACGTTTCCGAAGAGCTTTTATGGTCTGCAGGGTTTCTTCAATGAAATCAATCTCTGTGTTTTCTGGGACACCTTTGAACAATATGGCATGTAAAGGGTTAATACCTTCACCTTTGCACCAGTGCTGAAGTTGTGCCATAATGCCCTTTGTCTGGTAACTGCACGATACTGTTTGTCTGAGCTTATACTTCTTGAGTTTCTGTAGTGTAAACTAACCTGAGCTAAGGAAAATGTCCTTTTATTATATAAATTAGACTAATGACCAAATAAAGTTTATTTTTTATTTTTTACTTAACCTATGAACTAAAAAATATAGCAGCTTTAAATAATTATCTATTCATGTTCTGCTTATCTTACATAACTGTTGTTGTCTTTGGTCAAGAGCTAACATAAGCTATACAGATCCCAGCGGTGCCTCCATTTTATGTAGCACCCCTTCACTCTAACTTTACAGAGAAAGAAAACAATGATGAAATTAAACTTTTCAATGTGTTTTCTCTATGACAGCTACCTTGTTAGATTTCTGTCCCCGTTAACTACTGATAGTTGTGTGTTAGGATTTCTTACTAGGTAGTTACAGTAAACTTGGGCTGTGAGTATTTCCTGAATTTAATAATAATTATCTCATAAAAGGGGTAAGAAGAATTAAAGTCATGTTTCTGTGGTTGGAGGATTAAAAAGAAAGAAATTACGAACAAAATCCAGTGATCCATTCTGTAACTGACGATGTATTTGATTACCTTATTGGAAACAAAAAACTTTACTATTTGCATATTTGCCAACTTATCGGAGACTAAACTGCAAATCCGTTTCTGTAGACTCTGTTTACAAAGAGCGTTTTAATTCTTTATACAGAATGTAAGAAAAAAAGTGGGATTCAAAAGTCAAGCATGGGAAATGGAGACACAAAGCAATAACAACTCAAAACAAATGAACACAAGACAGATTTAGCATGTCAAAAAAGCGATTGTTAAAGTGTGCCAACATTCTGGTAATTTCCTCCCGACATCAGTGATTGCGCTCAGACTTTGAGTTAACACCAGCTAATTCAGCCTGAGAGAGAGAGAGACAGGATGTTCTGCAGGCCAGCAGCTGTTGTCAACACGGGGTGAGGCACAGTGTACTCCAATGTACTCCAATGTTCTTACACACTGCACATATACAGTATATTTACTCAGTAATGTCTCACATGTTGACAGGACCTGGTTGATTTAAAATTATAATGTAGCTAAAAGTGCTGAAAGGTTTCAAGTTTTTTTGCTTGTGCACATTGTGCCTCAGCTCCAAAACCGTTGAGAACCGCTGCTGCAGGCTAATGTATGCATGCCATGAATGTGTGTGTGTGTGTGTGTGTGTGTGTGTGTGTGTCTTTGTAGGATTGACTGTCTGAGACACAGCTCACTGCTTCCAGAGACGACGGGCATCTGGTTCTCCATGTGGAATCGCACCAGGTGACCAACACTCAAAAACACCTGGTGGGCATTTGCTTTGTGTATTTGAAATCCAACTCCAAAGCTCTCTTCCCGTCCATGTGGATCCACCAGCAGTAGGTGATGCACGGTGGCTCCCTCCATCCCGCTGAGTACATACTGACCAGAGGCAGAGCTCTCTCTGACTAGAAAAATCCCAGCTACAGGTTGCCATCATCGTTGCTGTCCGGTTTCAAAGTCCAGGTTGATCCCCGTCAGCAGCTCTCCTCCACAGGAGCGGTTCAGCAGCTCCTTCAGGGCTTCGTTCACGTCGTCGTTGAAGACGGTGGAGAAGCTGCAGCCGGGGTACCCGCCGCCGCCTCCATCCCCGGGGAAAGAACCCATCACCTCCTGCACCCACTTCAGCTCGTTGCTGAGCTCCAGACGCAGCGCATCGAAGTGGCTCTGCCTCTCCCGGTAGCGGTTGCTGACGGCGCCGAGGCCGGAGCTGAAGGCCTGCATGTCGTCCTGCAGGCTCCTCTTGAAGGCCTCCACTTTACGGAACTCGTAGCGAATCTGCGAGAGCTCATGGCGGACGTCTTCGCTCTCCTCCTTGTACCAGGCCTCCTTCTCGTTGTATATGGACACCATGGCGTCGATGTCCTCTTGCAGGGAGTCGTGGGCCGCTGCCAGGCTCACGAACGAGCTCTCCATCTGGTCGATGTCCACCACCACCTGGGCAAAGCGCTCAAAGTTCACGTAGGTGTTGTTGGGCGGCATGCTTGAGTGGGACTTGATGGTGTACTCCCTCAGGCGCTTGGTCTTCAGCTGGCGGCGCTCCCGTTTCTTCGGCTCCTGGGCTTTATTTTCCTCCTTGTGCTCGTTGGACTTTAAAGAAGGGAGAGTTAGTTTCTGTTGATACAACAGCTCATGTAATTATACACTTAAGTCAGACATGTTGAGAAATGTCCTCAAACAGCAGGAGTGTGAAACATAATAAGAATTCACTGTATTTCATTCTTCTTCTTTTGGGGTAAAAACTATTTAAAATGTAGGTATTACATTGAGTGGCTGAATTATACTCTTGTCGTCTCCCAGTAAAATAGATATTTTTGAAGGAAAGAAGAGAAACATCATTATAACAGCTATACTGTAATAATGTACTAGATCTTTAAAATAAGGTTATTAAAGAATTTAATGAATCTATAATTCTGGCTATTTGAACTTTACCTTGATCCATGGGTGATTAAGAGCATCTTGAATTGTTAATCTTTTCCTGTAAGAGAAAATAAATGTTAGTTGTGTGATTCTGGAGAACGTTGCACAAAACAAAAAGTTTAACTTTAAATTGGCCCTGAGGAAAATGTCGTTCACCACGTCTTACGTCTTATCCTCCTCCAACAGCTGGCTGATGAATTTCTTGGCCAGCTCGCTGGTGTGACAGAAAAACTCCTCGTCAAACTCATAGTTTATAGCTGAAATGTTGCCCAGCGTGTCCTGTTTGGTCTCCCCGAGGAAAGGTGACGCACCGCTCAGCCTGGAGCAAAAGAACACAGAACGTTTAGGTCGTGTGCTCTAAAGGTGACATCAAGGTATTTGTGGGTTCACTTGCAGGATGTAGGTGATGACCCCGATGCTCCACATGTCTGCTTCTAATCCCAGCGGCTCATAGTTGACAATCTCCGGTGCTTAAAAGGCAAACGGATGACAAGCAGAATGCATCTCTGTTAAAGCAAATCAGCAGATTCGTGTTCAGTTTGACACATTACGAGTCCAGAATATGATCTCTGTGGCTACCTCTGATATCTCATGTCACAGTTTATGGATCTTTTTAAGGGTAAACAATTTAAAATGTACAAAAATAAACTTCCCCAGTTGATTACTTAGATTAAGAAAATAGTTTTTTGATAAATGTGCAGATGAGGAATTGTTTATGTCAGAACATAAATGTGAACGTTGGACAAAACCAGGTTATTGAAATATTAGAGTCAAAGGTTTTTGCAGAAAGAATTTTCTGCATCACTCCATAAATCAGAAAATAATGTCAACAGTATATCAATCAATAATGTTTTATTCACCAAGCACCTCTCAAACAAATCAAATGTAATTCAAGGTGCTCTACAAATGATTGACACGATGACAATGGAGGGAAGATGAAGAGACTAATGTACACCAAATTAAGTTATGCACAATAAATGAATAACAACATCAGGATTTAATGTTTTTTATGTTTACAGCTGAAAGGTTTGTTTTGAGAGACTGAAAGTTCAACCTTTCCATCGTGTTGAAAGAAGTGGCTCATTGGTTTCTGTCTTTAATTCAGAGACAATGAGGTTCTCCTCGTCCTTGTTATTGTAATTTTGGGTAAAATGATATGAAAACCTCCTCTTACCCCCGCTGTTGATGATGAGTGACTCGCCCAGATTGGATGAATAGCAGCATTTGAAAAACATTAAATTGAATCTAAACATTGTTTATGATTTGGTGCCATCTAGTGGTGAGGTTGCAGATTGCAGCCATCTGAACGCCCACGTTTATAGGGGGCGCTATCGAGCCCGTTTGTCACACCCGGTTATGAAACCCACAAAATATTTTAACGTTTTAACCAGTTCTGATGAGTGTGCAAAGTTGAAATTTTTAGCCCGTCAAAAAGGCAAACAAATAAATAAATATAATATATAGCATATAATTAAGTGCTTTTCTGTATTCTTTTTTTGCCCTTTTAATTATTTTTTCTTTGTGTTCACCTTCTTGTCACTCTATGTGTGTGTGTGTGTGTGTGTGTGTGTGTGTGTATTTCTTTGTACATAAACACTGTGTGTGTTTATATAAACTTGTGGAATGCCGGTCTGGATTTAAAATGATTATATCAGAAAGCAATTGGACTTTACGTGAGCGTGTTATGAGCGTGGCTAAATGTCAATCTAAGTCACCTTTTCTAAAGTACTCTCACTGGATGTCCTTGGACTGTGTCTCCGACTGGACATTTTCAGCCTGGATGGACATAACAGAGACTATGGACACTAGAGATTCAAAGCATCTCAGCTGCACCAACATAATTGTTTGCTACTTATCTGGCCACCTTGTTCTGACTACACTTTTGCGGGCGTGTTGGAGTTTTTGTTGTTTCTTGGTTGCGTTTGTTTCTTACCTACAAACTCCGGTGTTCCAAAGATGTTCTTGAACTCAACGCCAGCTTCAATCTTGTGGGCAAGACCGAAATCAATGAGTTTGATTCTGGGCAACGGCACATTCTTGTCCAGCAGCATAATGTTTTCAGGCTGCAGATGAGAGAAGATGAGACGTTTAAAATGTTTCAGAAAAATCTATGTGAATTAAAAATGCTATTATATTGTTTCCCCTCGTGATATTTATTCTAAATTGCAAATAATAAAAAGCAGACTTCAGTATATGCATAAGGTGCAAAACTTGTTCAGAAAACTCATCATTTCAAAAGATACTGTGCACACAAGTCATATTTTTCTAGATTTAAGACATCTAATAGCTTCAACTAGTGGACAACCTCTGGACGCAGACATACAAAAGGCCCCAGCATCTCTCCTACAGGAGAAAGACACCCAGACTGTAGAGTTGTTAAGACTCTTTTTGTGTCTCTCTGATGTGGCTCAGAAATGTGACGTTGGGCCTCAAGCAGCAACATTCTCTGAAAACAGTTAAGACTCCAGATGTTCTAAACTGTCCAAATCTGCTCTAACCAGGTGTGCTGAATGATGAATCCCACTTGATCATAAATTGGAGGCGTGCATCGTATAACGTCTCGTCACGTGATCTAATACTTGACATTAGACAACAACACGTACATATTACCTAACAAACATCATTGCACATCCGTATATATGATAAAACACCAAAGAAAATAAGAAATTAATCATTTAACTGCATAGTTTTTATAGTTGTGTTCATGTAGAATCATTTTGTTACAGATTGCTACCGACTGTTTTACCAAAAATTGAACACAGAATATTCTTTGAGAATGAGTCCACGGTAGCACCCTGTCTCCTACACACATGTAGTGAAGCAGAGTGCAGCATCACGTCTCGTCTGGACCAACCTTGAGATCAAAGTGGGCTATCTTCCTGGCGTGGAGGTAGTTGACCCCCTCGAGGATTTGCTTGATGAACTGAGTGGCCTCCTCCTCGCTCAGAGACTCCTTCTGTGCCAGGAAGTCAAACAGCTCCCCTCCAGAGACCCTGGAACACAAACCCGCATCATCCAAATCATTCATGAAAACTTCATCATGTTTATTACTATTCCTTAAAGTTACTACAAAGAACTTTCGGTTTGTGTTGATTCTGTTGGTCCCTGTGGACCATTACGGTTCATTACCGTAATCCAAACATGCATAATGCTAAACTAAACGCAAGCTGCTGAAGGGCTGCAACTTTCCAACAAATGTAAATATTCTGTTTGTGTGTTTTATGCAAAATTCAGTACGTTTGGTACGTTTGAACACATAAGGATGTCCAATAATTTAAGATAAAGTTCTGTGTCTTGCAGCACATCGTGAGTTTGTAATGATGGACGTAGACTGTTATAAAGAGGCTTCATACGCTGTAATTAACTGATTAAAATGCTCTACAGTGCTGTGAATAACTTCAAGTGAACCGCTCACTCACAGCTCCAGGATCAGCACCACGTCAGTGCGGTTCTCGTAGACGTCGTGCAGCGTCACGATGTTGGCGTGCCGGATCTGCTGCAGGATGTCCACCTCCCGCTCAATCTCCTCCCGCCGCACGCCTCGAGAGCTCGCCCTGCTCTGCCGCTTCTTGATGAACTTGGCGGCAAATTCCAGACCCGTGCTTTTCTCTCTGCATTGCTTCACGATGGCGAACTGCCCGCTGAGACACAGAGGAGCAATCACAGAGAGCTAAGTGTCTGGGAGGCTGGACTACAGTAGTTTTTATTCACCGCTAACAAACATAATGGTACATTTCAGCTTATCATCGATATATTGATATTGATTGGTATATTAGTCAAAATATTGCAATACAAAAATGTCAAAGAAATGTTTGAGGTCATTTTGAGTAAACGTGTTCTCCAGAAAGCTCTGACAAGTTTATTTGTTTTACTGTAAAATTCTTTAAATTACACAGTTTAAGAGATATCATTGTTTTAGTTTTTGTAAAAAATGTATACAAGCGAATATCATCTGCTTCTTTTTCTTTTTTATTGTCAAATATGAATAAAAGTATTGGGCTCAAAATGTCAGTGTCGGTCAAGCATTAGATCACTCTCTGTAACTTTTAGTCAGTAACGTCCGTCCACTGAGCTGTGAGTTGAGATAAAGTGGCTTTTTCATAAACAAAACTTTCATTTAGTGTTGATTCTGTCGCCCCCCTGTGGACTAAAGTGGTCGTGTTTCTGAGCACCAGAGTCCCTTTAGAAAACCTCTCATTTTACTGCAGCAGGGTCTGACAGTCTGCTCCTCTCAGTCCTGGTTCTGGTTCTCCCGTGTCTCCCTTCCCTCCAGCGAGTCCAGCAATACGTCCTGGGTCTCCAGCAGCGTGGTGTAAATATAAAAATAAATGTATTTGGGGAGCACGCTTTCCTGTTTGCCCTCCCCATTTTTTACATGATAAATAGAGAAGAAGTGGTTGACAATTATTCAAAATGGTTGCCAATGGCGGCCTGCCAACACTCACTGACGAGCCTGTTGATGACTCCCGGTTAACACAAGGTAAATGGGAGTCAACACAATTAAACTTATTTAGTATCTTTAATATTTTAGTGTTATTAAATGCAGCCCACAATAACACGAGCTACAGAGCTGTGACGGGATTGTGACTACTGGGTTTGATGTGTTCAAAATACTCAAAAGGTCAAAGGACTGTACAGCTTCATCTCTTTATTTCTGGTTCACTTGTAATCTAACACTCCACTTCCTCATCTGCGCCCCGTCTGGGAGTAGAAATAGCCGCAGCTAAAGATAGAAGAGTCCTTTAAAAAGCATCTCGACATGCTGAACAGTTGTCTGCACCTGACTGACGCACTGCAACAAAACTAGGCCTAAAATACAACAGTTTATGTTTCTTACTGTAAAATCACAGGCAGCAATTTCACCAGTAATCTCCTGTAGAAATTACAGCAATTTCCTGTAATCATAACATACAGTAATTCTATGTAATTTAACAATTACAGTATTTTACTGGCAGCAGTTTCACCAGCGAGATGCAGAGAAATACGGTTAACTTATTGTCATCAAAATATAGTAGACGTCCTAAATTCCCAGAATGCATTGCTTTCACAGCAATACAGTAGGTCACTGTTAGAATTACAGTGAAGTTACGGGAGTACCAGGAGTATTTCAGTGTAATCTGAGGTACTCAGAAACATTCATCTGGAAGTTTCAAGAGGAAGTTTTGACTCCTGTTGAGAAGGAGCACTTGCAGCATGCAGTTAATGATTCTGTGTAATTTCCATATTGTAATAGCGAAGCAATACCTGCCGGGTGAAGTGACCTTCATGCTGCAACTTCCATTTTCAAATCTTCTAGTCTAAGTGGTGCTTTATGAAGCGATCTACTACCAAAACAACACTATGAATAACTCACAAACTCGTCACAACTACTGGTATCACGGTTACGTTTTTCTTTCGGATGTTAAAAGCTGTTGCCTGTATATTAATATTACGGATGTCTGACTCACTGTAACTGATAACAAGAACAATATGTAATGAAATAATAGTTACACTTTAAATCTGCCTCATAAGATATTTTCAAAGAATTTGTGTCCTTAAACTAAAGAGATGAAAGATAAGATTCCTAATTTCCCATGACTGGATTCTTCATGAATAAGTTTAAATTTACGTTTATATACTGTATATAATATTAAAATGCATTGCAGAAGTTTTGTCAGTGAAATACGTATGTAATAAATAAATAAATATAAAGTTTGAGTATGGTGCTAGTTTTGAGTTGTAGTTCACTTTCTAGTTTGAGTTATTTCTGCTTTTATCTTTGTATTTATCCCCTATGTATTTATTTATCCATCTAATGCCAGATTGTTTAATGGCCTGGCTGTGTGGAAGTGTCTTTATTCACACTATCTCCTATTTTGGATTCTGATTTGCATTAAAGATCTCACCGTTATTCATTAAATTAAATTAAATAACATATTTCACCATGCTGAAGTATATGAGATGCTGCATGCATGTCTGTACCTTCCCAACTCTTCACCAATTTCATAGAAATCCTCCACTTTCTGTTGCTTGAATAAGTCCATGCTGCAGACTCCTCACTGGTGTTTGTTAGAATAATACTTCTGCTTCATCCCTCTTTTCCTGAAATGACAAAACAGTTATTTTATCATCTGGAAAAAAACAACTCTTCAACTAAATGCGACATTACAACAGTAAATGAAACGGTTTTGCAACATGGCTATCCTGTTATAGAAAATGCCATCGCAGTTAAAACAGTCGCCCACCGACGGTTTGGCTTACTGTACACTGAAGCACGAGACTAATATTGTGAACAGCACAACAAATAACAAAAACAGATCAATATAAAATGTCCTACGGTCTTAAAAACGTCAAGTCTTGATCGTGAACACCATGTCCTCCTCCTGTCCTGCGTGCGTCTCTCCGGCGTTGAGGACTCAACACATTCCGCTCAGCAGCGCGCGAGAGCGTCACACCAGACTTCTTTAACAGAACTACACATTTAAGGTGGCATTTGTTATAATTGGATGAAATTATATATATATATTTTTAACGTGAACTACTGCTATAATGCAGTTGAGAGTTGAATGGCAACATTAATTCATTTGAATTAATATTAACTGTATTCACGGTGTGTAGGCTTTACCCTTCCCCTCTATGGACCTTTAAAAGATGTGTGTTAGTTTAATGCCGAATCAAACACGGACACGTGCCAAGTCATGAGATGCAATCAAAAGCGTTAAATGAAGCACGTGCCTTTGCAGAACCTTAAGTCAACTTTTACTTTGCAATAATATAAATAGGGTTTGTCGTCACCGCCTCTGTGTGCGCGCTCTGCCTCTGGCTCGGCCATCTTTCAGCTCCGCGCGTGAACTTATGACACCTGTTGTGTCGCGCACTCTAGCACACCGTCAACTCTGAAATTCAAATATTGGGGTGTTTTTTGTTATACTTCTTTTTTTCTTATCTTAATAAGACTGGTTAATTTTAACATTTACTATTTTAAATTGTATTGATGAATTACATTTTATTTATTTGACTATAGATTCTGATGAATGAAAATCAATGATTTTGGCCCCCCCTCCCTTACTGACTGTGATCCTGACTTTTCATGTAGCGCCACCATGAGTAATAACCATGTCATTATAGATATTGAGGGATTGCTCTAGAGTTTGGTTCAGTCATTCATCTTCCCCAGAGGATGAATCCTAAGGATTTTAGTGATCCCTGACTTTTCAATTTGCACCACCATGAGATTGACAGTTCTGAATTAAATATCTTGACAACTATTTAATGAGTGATAATGATCTGCTACAGATATTCAGGTTCCCCAGGGGATAAATCCCACTAGCTTTGGTCATCCTCTGACTGGGCGACCGTGGCTAAGTGGAGAGCAGCCGATCCTCTTCAATCAGAGGATCTCCCGCTCCGCTAGTCGCATGTCGATGTGTCCTTGAGCAAGACACTTAACCCCAAAATTGCTCCCGTAGCTGAGCCTACGGTGTATGTGATAGAATCTGAATTGTAAGTTGCTTTGGATAAAAGCATCGGCTAAATGACCGTAATGTTGTTACTGTTAACGCCACCGTGAGGAGTTTGGTTCAGACATTCATGTTCCCCAGAGGATGAATTATTTTGATCCCCTGACGTTTCAACCTAGCACCAACATCAGATTGACAGTTCCAGGTGAAATATCTTAACTATTGGATGGATTGTCATGAAATCTGCTACAGATATTCACGTTCCCAGAGGATGAATCCTACTAACAAATGTAGTGATCCTCTGTCTTTTCATATAGCGCCTATTTGTCATTTTGAGCAACAAAAATGGTTTGATTGCTATGGAGTTTGGTTCAGTCTTTCATGTTCCCCAGAGGATGAATTTGAATAACTTTGGTGACTCCCTGACTTTTCATCGAGTGTCATCATCAGCCAGTGTTTTGGTTTATGACCAAATTACCTGCAAAATAATTGTGGCTCTAGATGTCTGAATGGCTGTCCACATCTTAACCCTACATTTGAATGATTTATCTTGTTGAGGACAATCAGACAATCAAGCAGTAAAAAACCTACCCACCAAAAGTTCATCTGATAAAATGAAAACAAACAAAAATGAAAATTGTACCAAGTGACCTGTTGAAGTTCAATCTGGGGGACCAGGAGCACAGACAGTAAAAAGAAACTGGCTACCCAATGAGAGCTAGAGGAGTCATCGGTAGATCAACTGAAACAATGCCACTATTCAGATGAGAGAGACGCCCAAAGGAAATATGCAAATGAGGCGTTTCGTCTTCCTTTAGAGAGTTAAAACGTGAGCAGAGGAGCGTGCATGGTGATCACTGCCCCGTCAGCTGCTGACAGAACCCCTGAGAGGATGGAGAAGACGTCGGCCGTCGACCTGCACATGGAGACATCAGGGGGAGGCCTGAAGGAGCTGGTGCTGAGGTGGTTCACGGAGACTCAGGCGCCGCTCCTCCTGAACGACGGAAACTTCCCCAACTGGTTCAAAGGCTTCGCTGCACGAAAGTAAGGATCCGGAGTGACGGAGTGAAGGAGACGTTTGTGTTTGTACTCATGGAAATGAAGACGGTCAAATGCACTGAAAGTTTACAGCTGTTTTTGGCTCTGATAAGGTTGTGGAATTGCATTTGAATTTATTTGAATAATAGATTTCTGCAGGATACTGTAGATCATTATGTTTGTTTTTCTGTTAGTTGTTATGCAGTGGTGGAAGGAATGTAATAGTGCATTTATTAAAGTACTTTATATGAATATTTCTGCTTCTACTCCACTATGATTCAGTTTTTAAGTCTTTACTGCACTAGATTTATTTGACAGCTTTAGTGACAGTATAAAAAATAAGAAAACTAGCTCCACCTCGACCACCTACAAGAAAATACTCTGGGTATCTGGGTCTGTCCACGGTGGACCGGTCTCTGCTGGAGGATCTGGGTCTGTCCACGGTGGACCGGTCTCTGCT